GCGCTCTACAACAACACGGCAAGACTGGCGCTTTGCCCTACATCCAGGCGGCCACTGTGTGCATCAGCGCAGCTCAGTTGTAAAAGGAAGTAAAAAGCCGCGGCCATATCAGAGCACGAACTTGGGTTATAACTATATTATGTGAGGCATAGTGGGGAAGTCAAGCACTTCTCAAAATAATGAAATCAAAGACAACGGCTTTTTTCTGGGCGTTGAGCAATTTAAAAAAAAATAATCTTGGCGCAACACCTTTTGCATCCTTTTAAAAACGCATTTCTGTGTGGATGTTACCGAAAAACGTTCATTAAAATATGCAGGAAAAAAATGTAAATTTCCAGTTTCTAACGACACTAAAGCCTTTGAAGTTGTCCAACTTTGGCGGCCAGTTTGTCCATAATTTTACCTCACATATCACTTCCATCAATCGCAAATATATTGATTTCTTTTCAAGACTGATGAGTATTTTTTAAATTGAAAACAAGGCAAACTAATAAGCTTTTAGATGATACCATTAACTCCACATGCCCAAAAATTGACGAGCGCCTGATTCCATCGCGACGTGACACATATTATTATAATTCAAGCTTATTGTCATGCGCTATTTTTACTGAAAGAGATCTCAATATTTTAACAGAACTTACATTGAAATTAGAGTGAAGCTGTAGTGTATTTTCGGATGTGTGGTGTATCCAAGGAGTGGAGATAAAACAACTTCGAACACAAGAGGGACTGAAAATCAAAATCTGGGTAACGCAGAACAGCACTCGATCAGGTGATACAGGAAACCTTTCCGGGATCAGATGACGCAGCAGCACTGGTTTTGGGTTTTTCCGGAGAGCCGAATAGTTTAAAAATAGACGTTCCCTTCGGCTGGACGAGATGTCTGGGCAATGGCAGCTCGTAGAAAAGTCGTGTCCAAAATAGATGGGACGTGATTGGTAGGTTGAGTCTCTTGTCTATAAATAGCCTCACGCCACAGTCGAGGGTGTCACGGGTGAGCTCTCCCCACGTGATGAGCACGACCGTGTGGAGGCCCGTGCGTCGTAGTTGCAGCGCCTAAGGACGAAACAACAACAATGAAGAATGAAAAAAAAAACCACAAAAAAAAGATGAAAGCCATTGAGTCGTTGCAAATCAAGCGCTAAACTGGAATCCCCAAGGGAAACGGAAGATAGGTAGCTCTAGACCAAAGAACTTAGTAAGGAGTCGAGAGGTGGTACGCAGGGTACATGAGGAGGTGAGGACAGAAACTGGTCCTGGGTCATGATTAAATTAGTTTAGAGCTTTTGTCGGCGGCCTATGTCCCCATCGAGGTAACAGGCAATGATGATGATGATGATGATGATGATGATGATGATAATGATGATGATGATGATGATGATGATGATGATGATGATCATGATGATCATGATGATGATGATCATGATGGTCATGAACTGTTTCGCAAATGTTCAACGTCCCCATCCTCGCAATTTGGGCCATTAAGGAGGCAGGCTGCTTCGACCCTGTCTGTCAGGGTCGACCGTGACTGAGAAGGATGTAACATCCTAGCGAACAGAAGGAGATTGAAAAAGCATTTTCCTTTTTTGGAAACAAACTCACATCCTCTTAAAGCCTAGCTATTACAGCACAGACGCCGATCATATTATGACAATCTGAAAACAATCAGAAGAAGACCATCAGAAGACAATCAAAAGACAATCAAAAGACAATCAGAAGAAGACAATCAGAAGAAGACAATCAGAAGGCAATCAGAAAACAATGACAAGAAGACAATCAGGAGACAATCAGAAGAATACAATAAGAAGACAATTAGAAGACAATCAGAAGACAATCAGTAAACAATCACAAGAAGACAATCACAAGAAGACAATCACTATACAATCAGAAAACAATCACAAGAAGACAATCAGAAGACAACCAGAAAACAATCGGAAAACAATCACAAGACAATCAGAAGACACTCAAAAGGAGACAATGAGAAGGCAATTGAGGAGAGACAAACATTGTTGTAGGCAAAGGTAATATTTTAACCCAGGCTGAGAGGGATACAACTTCAAACGCCAAAGTTAGAGATAAAGTTTTGGAAGAAGCGACAAAAAAGACGTTCAGTAACGTGGAACTTTGACAAACCTCTTGAAAGCACGCCACACCCTGCCGATTCCCGGAGAAGTAAGAGCTGGCAATGACGAGGCTACACCGACTTTGTTTCACATTGTGAACGCACAAGTCTTGGCTCCCACTTCCTAAACCAGCCGCCTCCGAGACGGGGCATTTAACCGCGAACCGCCATCTTGGATGCTGAAGTTTGGGAAGGAGCATAGATTCCACCCACCACTGCAACTTCCGGTCGTGGTGGTCGTAGATAAGCGTGATGTCATAACTCCCAAAAAGAGGCAGTTCGTGTCGCTGAGAAGAAGTCCGTTTGAGAAAAACACAGTGGAATTTTGAGTAGAGAACAGCTGCGATGAGAGAGCGATGATACCCGCAGAGAATGATGAAGCAGAGAATGGTGACAGCGAAGACACACACGATGAGGATCGTCGCTTTGTGTCGGAGTTCGCTATCGTCACAATCCAAGCTCTCGAGTTCAAGGTCAGACACTTTTGACGTTCTGTCATTGTTACAAAACAACGCGCCCACACTAGACAGCTGTAAGAAATAATTCAAGCAGCCCACATCATTGTCTGATTTCCCAACTGTGACTCTTTCCCTACATTCTCTCTCCCTACTCCCTTCTCCCTCACCCTGTGCAGCGCCAAGATTCTGTGATAACTTCTCCTGCTCTTTTATCCAAAGAACGAAGGCTTCATTCTGACAAGAACAAATCCACGGATTTCCAGTTAAAGAGATGTACTGTAACGGAGGAATATTTTGCAACACAGTGATAAGTAGTTGCGGCATAAACGCTAAGTCGTTTAACGAAAGGTCAAGGACTTGCAGTTGTTGTAGGTGGTCAAACGTACCAACTGATAGAGAACTGATGCGGTTGGAGGCCAAGTGAAGGTGTGTGAGATTCTTGATAGGTTCAAACAAATCTTGATCGATGTGACTTATAAAGTTATGACTGAGGTCTAGTGTTGTGAGGAACGGGAAGTACATGAAAGCGCTGGCATTCATAGTGTAGATGCTGCTATCATTTAAATAAAGATCTGTCGCAGCCATTTTTTCACTGCCGATTTTTTCCAAAAACCCAAGATTATTACCTTCAAACGAAATAAACTTTGATTCGTTAAAGATTTCTGCTGGTAAGGAGGTTAAGTTTCTCGACGCGCACATTGTTATCAACGGCACACCACCAATTTCTGGTGCGAAACAACTGCACTTGATGGGACACGATGTGGACACGGGACACAGAAACTCTTCCGTAGCAACCGTCGCTAATGACGCCTGATGGTATCGCGGTGGAACAGCACACCTTTCGATGACGTAATAAGACTCCACGGAAAGGTTAGGTACCCAGTCTTGGTCTTTTATCCACTCCATCAAACACGAGCATTCGATTGGATTGTTTTGAAGAAAGAACGTTATTCCTGGATGAGCTTCAAATGGGGCGACGTGCGTTAAAAGGTTATCCCTTAGATCCACTTCCCTTAGATAAATCAAATTTTCGAAAACCTTCGAGTCTACGTGCAGAATCCTGTTGTTACGAAGTAACACTTTCGTGAGCCGCAAAGACGTAACATTCTTCGCATTCAGAGGGGAAGTAACATACTTGATCCTGTTTCTGGAAAAATCTATTGTCTTCAATGACCTTGGTAGCTGGAGTCCAGAAATAGACGTTAGGAAATTGTTGCTGATCTTTAGATAAAGCAGCTGGGTCAGATTATGAATAAGTTCTACAGGGAGGACTTGTATTTCATTCCCCGAGAGATCCAGGTGTTTAAGTGCCGCAAGAGCTTCAAATGTGTTTGACGGTAATTCTGATATTGCGTTTCGACTGAGGTCTAGAAACTGTGCTTCCGCCATGCTGTAGAGGTCACGAGGTTCTAGCGAGCTGATGACGTTGGATGCCAAACTCACCCGTAGTACGTGGGACTTGTTCAGCCTCGGAACCGACGAGAACTGGTTTCGACTAAGATCAAGGTTCACCAAGGTCAAAGGCAGCATGACGTCCTTGACCCCTTGCAGGGAGTTTTGGGAGAGGTTCAGGTGCCCAAGGCTGACGAGGGGAGAAAATGTACTAGGGTCTACAACTGTGATAAAATTATTGGACAATTCGAGTTTCTTTAGAGAGTTCATTCCACTGAAAGCACCGTGGTCGATTGTCGAGATTTTGTTAAAACTTAAATTCAGTTCCACAAGACTGGATAGATGGGAGAGAAATCCATGGTCTAATGAGACAATCAAATTGTGGCTAACGTCCAACATAAGTAGCTGGCGGCACCATCGGGTGATATTTCTCAAACTGACGTGTGAGTCAGACAGTTTGTTATCTGCCATTATGAGTGTCTTCAGCTTACCTGCATTTTCGAAAACCTCGGCAGAAATGACTTGTATACCGTTCGACCTAACATCAACAATCTCTACCACAGAATTATGAGCGAATAGGGTAACGTTCAACTCAGTTAAACTATTTCCGGAAATATTTAGCACTTTTAGTCTTGGCAAAGGTATCGGAAGCCCATTAACAATAGAAATTCCATTAGAAGAGAAATCCAATTTCTCTAACATACTGCACTGACGAAGACTTTCAAAATCAAAGGACAAAAATCCGTTGTTTGATAAGAATAATGACACCAGCTTTAGAATTCCTTCGCAGAATGTGACCGGGATATATTGCAGATAGTTATGGGAAAGATCAATCCCAGTTAAGTTAAAAGCCCCTATAAAAGGATTCGGTTCCAATTTGAAAATTGAATTATGGCTAGCGTTCACAACTCGCAAATCCGCAGTCGTCCAAAAAGCGTTTGGGGGGATACTAGTTAGCTTCGCGCCACTGATGTCTAGATATTTCAAACTTATCTGCTGGGACAGCAATTGGTGGTTGCAAGGTCGGAGGAATCTGACGGGGAATGTTGATAGCTCTGATTGGCTGAGATCAAGTACTTCCAAATGTGGAGGCAGACAGACTCGGCGGTCAGAGATTGTTGTCAATGGGTTGTGCTTCAGACTTAGCGCTGTCAGGGAGTGTAGCTGAGAGAAAGACTCGGGGTCAAGGTCGGATATACGGTTGTGGGAAAGGTCAAGGACAATAAGTCCAGACAGACCTTTGAGCATGAATGGGGTTACTCTGGTGAGCTGGCATAGGTCAAAACTCTCAGGGGTTGAGCTTTCGGTTTGTCGTACCTCCTTTAAAGATTTGGGAGCGTTTATGTGTTCTTCATGTCCGTGTCCTCGTAAGTTTGGTAGAGAGGTCGCTCGTGATTTATTGTTCGTTGCAGCGTTCCCGTTGTTGGTATTGCTGTTGTTGTCGTTGTTGTCGATATTTTTCTTGTTGTTGCTGCGGCTGATGCTGCTGTCGTCGTCTGCAGTTTTACAAAAGCAGACGTTTTTGTGTGAGGGATGGCTCGTCTGCGCGAGACACCGTACACTGACATAATCGATGAGCTCCGGCTCGTGCACCCATCTCGAGGTCACTTCGCCAAAGTTGTGGTCGTGCGTACACGTCAGCAACTTGGCAGTGACGTCATACACGCAATCGCCGAAAATAGAGAAAGGATAGGAGTGCTCAATGAAGCCTTCGCCATCCCACGTCACTCGGAAGGACCAAGGTTGCAACGCGTGTGAGAAGAAGACGCTGTTCAGAATTAGCAGCAATGACGTTATGGAAACATGCGTCTTTTTCCCGACTGTGCTCGCGTTCTGAAACATGGTCTATTTCTGGGTCCACGTGATGTCGTCACCCACACAGAAGGAAATATGTATCTCCAGTGGAAAAGATGTCATCAGATCCAGAAAACATAACCTGGAAAAGAAAAATGTGGAGAGATATAAAAAAACTGAGATATATTGTAAATTCATTTTATTTTGCTTGTTTTCTAATGTATGTATTTTACTGCTCCATCGATGATATCAAGATAACTACTGAGGCAGACTTCAACCCAGCCAGTGAGGACCAACCCGAGCTGAGAGGGATAAAACGTCCCAGCAGACAAACCCAGGCTGAGAGGGATACAACATTTCAGCAGACAAACCCAGGCTGAGACGGATACAGCGTCCCAGCAGACAGACCCGAGCTGAGAGGGATATAAAATTTCAACAGACACACCCGAGCGTATCCTGTGCCTAACTGTTATATATAT